GTAAGCAGAGGGAGCAGGTTTCCCCCTCCCTCAGGAATGCAGCCAGCTCAAGTTCCCTAAAGAGACAGGCTAAGGGTGTGGTCCCCTGTGTGCTGGGCCCATCCTAACTGAATGGTCACAGCACAGAGATTTAAATCACAGTGTCACAGGGCAGAGATTTTTGGGGAGAGACCAAGGTGGCTTTCTGCCACAGTGATGGTGACAGCAGCAGTGATGGTAACCCTTTATTATCCAATAGATGAGTGGTGAGTGGTCAAAGGAGACCAGCATTCAATGCCAACCACAGCCTAAGAAAGTTCAAACTCAAAGTTTCTCACCAAGGCAATGCCCCACCTGCCCGGCTACCGGCTGTGCTAGAGTGGAATTACTGCAGTGGGACTCTGCCTAAGTTGAGAAGGGAGGTCATTCAACACAGGTCTCCTACATTCTAGGTGTGCATTTGTCACCAAGCCGTTTTATAAAGAAAAGCACCACCATTATTTTTTTTAAAAATCTACAACACAACCCTTCCATTTTTTTGAAAAGGAACGATATAGGAGCCTAGCTCCAACCAAAGCTTCAACCTGTGAATCTTGATCTCTCACAAGCAACTAAACTCCCAGAGGTGAGGGATGAAAGAATAGTAAGGCATCCCCTCTCCTTAGCATTTTATACTTGCTAGTTCAGGCAGTCCTCTGCCCTCATTCATCCCCCCCAGCTTAAGGTACTGGCTGTTTTGAATATCTGTAAGCACCTAACACTCTGCACTGTGTAAGAACCTTAGGTGCCTAGCTCAGGCACTCCCTTCCAGGAGCCGAAGGCCTGAAAGTTTGGTGCCACCAAGCTAAACACCATGATGCCCAGGCTGTCTGTGGATCTAGACATGCTTTCATACAGGTGTTTATTATACTTTGCAGTACAATCATGTAATGCATCCAAAGCAGTGAATGCATGCAGAAGATTCACAAATAAAAAAAATGTAATGGTCAGCTGGCTGTCCCCCATCTTCATTCCTGGAATTCAAATAGTCTTCAAGAAATGGCTTTTCTACCCTCCAGCCCCCAAAAATCACATATCAGAAGTTAGTAAAAGTTGCGTCACCTATTTTAAAAAGAAAAAGGCTAAGAGTCTGGATAGCTTGCAGTTCTAAAAAGCACTGTTGTTCCCTGACAGACTGTAGGCTGCAAGTAATTAAACAAAGCAATAATATATGTAAAATACTACAAACTCCAGGTTGAAAGATAAGAGGGTGTTCTAGGATCACTATAAAAACAAAAGGAAAAAAATCAGCTTGTATTCCAACAAAACCAGAGACTAGGAAAACTTAAATGATTCTCCTCTTGTAAATCCAGATCTAAACTATCAAAATAGCTGTTCTTGATCCATTTCTTCAGAACTCTTATACCAAGATACATTTGAGACAGTTTCTTTCCCTCTCTTCCCTACTTCTAATCCAACCCCTTCCCCGCCTTCTCCCCCTGCCCGGAAACTCATAATGGGGTACTAATAGGCATAACAGGCAACAGTGTAGAGAAAGAGCACCATAAATGAATATCTGAGACATCAGAGATGGTTTTGAACTTACTGAAAAAATTCCTATTCCTTATGCAAAACATTCTTCTATCTGCTGTCCTATACAACTATCCCACCCTAATACTGTATTGGAACTATTCAGTATTAGGGTGGGGATAAATGTATTCCTATCCTAATACTTTACTGGTAGCCTAATTGTTGGACCCGTATTGTAAAGAACACTACATGAGTTCAGGTTCAACTTAGCAAAGACATCTTTCCCCCTAATCAATATCCTTCTTTAGATATGTGGGGAGCCAGAGGAAAAGCAAGGGCAACAATGGACCCCTGCTAAATCTAGATAGGACAACTGACAACCGACGCCCAGGAAAAAGCTAACTTGCTAAATGGGTGCTTTGCATCTGTTTTTCACCAGTCCCATGGGATGTCCATGCCCATTACAGGATGGGAAGGCCTGGGTGAGGGAGATTCCCTGCCCTCCATCAATGCTGACCACGTGAAGGAACACCTTGACAGGCTGGACACCTTCAAGTCAGCCGGTCCTGACAATCTACACCCCAGGGTACTCAAGAAGCTGGCAAGCATCACAGTTCAGCCCCTGGCACGGATCTTCAAGAACTCCTGGTGCTCTGGTGAAGTGCCCAAAGATTGGAACAATGTCAACATGGTGCCTATCTTCAAGAAAGGGAGGAAAGTGGATCTGGCAAAGTACAGGCCCATCAGCCTGACCTCTATCCCGGGGAAGGTCTTAGAAAAGATTATCAGTGACGCCATTCTTAACAGACTGGCTGATGGCAGCATCCCAAGGGATAGCCAGCACAGGTTTGTTGCAGGTACGTCTTTCTTGACCAATCTTATTTCCTTTTACGACCAGGTGACCTATCACCTGGACAAGAGAGAGGAGATTGAGGTCATATATCTTGATTTCAAAAAAGCCTTTGATCTGGTATCCCATGATCACCTCTTGGCTAAACTGGCCAACTGCAGCCTCAGCCTCACCACAATCCGCTGGTAGGACCCAGAGGGTGGTAGTTCATGGAAGTCAATCATCATGGTGCCCTGTGACTAGTGGGGTCCCCCAAGGCTCTGTCTTTGGGCCTATACTATTCAACATCTTCATTAATGTTGTGGACATAGGCATCAGAAACAGACTGGCCAAGTTCACCAATGACTCTGAACTTTGGGGTAAAGTGTCCACACCTGAGGAGAGAAGTGTGATCTAGGATGACCTTGACAGGCTCAGGAAATGGGCAAACAAGAACCTGATGGTGTTTAACACCAAAAAATGCAAGGTTCTCCACCTTGGGAAGAAAAAC